CCTTTGCTCCTTTTGTTCTCACTCCTTAAAGAGTTTCAGTTTTTCTCACGTGCACTTTCTTTCTGCGTTTAAATTGGATCCCGTGACTTACGAGGCTCTTAAAAAAGGATAAAGTTCTAGGCGTTGGTCAATCACTAAGGAATATGCCATGCATTCGACTTCACTAAGCATCGTTTAGAGGTGATCGAATGCATATCTGGCCTTTAGAATGACTCGCAGTGGCCTGTCGATGTATCGAGCTAGTGCTGCTATCCTCCTAGACAGGTTTGGTAACGTTTCGCCGGCTGTGGAGCGGTGGACGGCTTGATGAGGCAAGGGCGCAATGTAAGAAAGCAATGAAGACACTGAAGCGGAGACACAGAGACATAGAGGCAGACAGAAAAACGGTTTTTTTAAAAAAGGTTTTCGAAGAAAAAACAGCAAGCGTTTTCGAAAATCTTATGTAAAATATGAAGAAATCTAGCGCGTAATATTTCAATTCGAGTCCGTATTAGCAAATGTATAAAGTAGTACCTGATTTTGAAAAAATTACCTACGAACTGCTGCAACGAATGATGCTTCCACGCTTTCTATCTTTATGTCCCTTATTTTACTTCGGATTTTAAAGCTGTTATAATTTTACAGTTGTTCAATTCAGATAGACTGATCGACTAATCGCAGGAATAGCTGAGTACCTGCCACTTAAGACGAATCCTAGCCACGAAACGGCAACCTTCTCTACTCCCGTGGTCCGTAAAGGGCCGCCAAGTGGCCATGTTTAAGATTCGGGGGTGTCCTAGAACGAATACTCAGCAATTCCAGAAGTACATTGGAATCACGGTCGAAAAACATTCACTACTTTGGTGAGAATGGAATATAAAAAGTGCTCAATTTTCAACCGAACTCATGCACAAATCTGAGAATCTCAATGCCTCTGTAGATGATTATGACGGACGACCTAAGCATTTACTGATTAGTACGCCCATCGACAAGGCGCGTGTGGCGCAGTGGTCGTAGGCGTCCTGCGACACATATATGGGATCGATCCCCAGGATCATGGCTCACCGAACATTTCATTTATCCGACGTCGGAAAATTGGCACCAAACTTGTCTGGGAGGATAGCAGCATTGGCTCGATACATCGGCAGGTCACCGCGAGTCATTAAATGCATTCAAATACCTGCAACGCTGCTCAGTGAAGTCGAATGCATGGTGCATCTCTCAGAGATTTATCAGCGCCGACAGCCTTATCATTTTATCCATTTATGTCTGGATTTGTAATAAATCACAAGTACCCCAATCCAATTAAATCTGGAAAAAAGCTAGCCATGAACCTATCGTTTGAAAAATATACTGAAAAGGTTTTACTGTATAAGATGCTATTCCTTTCGTTCTCATTATCCAGTTGATGACTATAGCTTAAAAGCTTAAAATTGTTCCTAGCCAGTTTTGTTAATATTCTGTGTTATGTGAACTTCTGAATTCGAACATAAAGTAAGAAACGATGAAAACGACTAGTCAATTTCAGCTCCTGGTGTTCGCCTAAAAATTCGGGCACGTACTTTCATAAGACATCGGTCACGAAATGCTGTATAAACAACTGTTTTTGAACAGAAAAAAGCACTAAAAACGTTGGTGAAATTGTTGAGAAGGACGAGAAGGGTTCAGGACAGACTGACGACGTGTTCGTAGATGTCGTGTGGATTTGACTACCATGGCAACCAGCTTGAGAGGAACGCCAAAGAATTATGCTGTGCAGACATCGACAGTTTTTCTGATAGTTGTCTCATTAAGAGCATGCGAAGAACGAGACAGAAATATATATATATATATATGTATATATGGAAGGATTATTTATATTGTAGTCCAATAATGTCTTACTAATAGTGCTTTAACAGTTCAGAGTGGCTGGAAGTGATTCTGGGTGTCAAACTGCTTGCACAATGAATGGTCTCCTTGGCAGGATGTCCAAAACCTGCGAAGAATTTCGACAATTCCATTCAGAAATCCGGCTAAAAGTAAATAATCAGTTTTAGTAGTCATAACTATTTTGCTAGCAGCAGGGTTACTTGTTGACGAGCACTCACGACTTGAAAAACTCTTAGTTCAACTTTCGAGCCTGCAAGAAAAGTCAACATTGCTCAGCGAGGAAATAATCAGTTAAATATGTACCGTGCCGGAGTACACATGACTCTTCATCATTGGTGAAGCTGAATCACTCAAGCAGTTAAGTGTAGTAAGGTATTGCAATAATATGCAATGGTGAAGAGTGACGAGCGTACCGATGTGGTGAATGGCTCAAAAAGATGATTACACCTCGGTAAAATTATTTACAGCCGCTGTTCAGAACGTCAAACGGGAACTGGTGTGGGATAAAATGAGACTGAAAGTTGACGATGGGCAACTGAATCACCTTAGCCTTGTTTACGACATTGTTTTTATAGCACTAAAGCACTAGAAAGGTGAAACTAATGCGAATGTGACTGTTCTGAATTCGTATTCCAACTGGACCTCAAGAGTAGGACGTTAATGTGGTCCGGAATCATTTGTGATATTCAATCACTCTCAAAAAAACGAATGCTTCTAAATGTTCCAAATACTTGCGGTCGAGAAATCAACGTAATGACTAATTGGAAGCAGAGTCGACCACCAAGAATCCATGGGCTTGCAAAGTTCATAAGAGCATAAAGGATGTGTTGAAGATGACATAGAGCAACTGGATCTGTATCCAGCTAGGATGGAAAGCCATTCAACGTTGTCGAACTCGCTATAAAGAGGGAGATGCTAGGAGTCCTCCATTTCATCTTCATGAGGAAAATAGTCCTAAATTCCGGCAACTCATGATAAGGAACGATCTTTCATACACCATGATATCGATACTTGGGTGTCCTCGACACGTATTGCCTCCTAATGATAACCCATAGACAAGAGCGTCTGCGACTAGCTCCCATGGGATATCAATGCAAAAGAAGACGGAGCAGATGATCAGACCTCTTCATAAGAACCATAGGAGAAAAACAAGGTGTTTATTGCGTTGTTCCTCGAGTACACAGGGGCAGAGAAACAACATCGGCACGCGACAGCGACTAATGGTGAGGTTTTGGCGGTCGGTCGTGTCACTGGCGATCAACGACAGACCATGTGATGGAGATGACAGGTGGATGTAGCGAGCAATGCATGGTGTAGTGCAGGAATATACGTTTCATAAAGTTTTTTCCATTTTAGAAAGAGTCATCGCAAGAAAACTAGTCAGAAGAAACCAAAGAAACGCAACCATAGTTATTTCACGGCTTTTCCTCAGTAGTAGTTCTGGACAATGTAGAAATTCCAATTCAGTGTTGAAGAGAAATTCTCTAATAAATTAAAAAGGATAAAGCTCTCGGCGTTGATCAATTTCCCAGGTATGCGCCATGCATTCGACTTCATTAAGCATCGTTTGGAAGTGATCGAATGCAGATCTGGTCCTTATAATGACTCGCGGTGGCCCACCGATGTATCGAGCGAGTGCTACTATCCTCCCAGACAAATTTGGTACCAATTTGCCGACCCCGTAAAGATGGAATGCTTTGGAAGCCACGAGCGCGGGGATCAATCCTATATGTGTGTCGCATGGCGCCTCTGACCACTGCGCCACACGAGTGAAATGCATTTTTTATAATATTTCGTCACTAGATGCAAGGAAGACCATATCCTTGAAAGCTTCAGGATCTATGCTAAGAATTTTAACTATAGACATGAAAGGAAAACGTGCCAATCATTGAATAATTATAGACAACGCATTATTAAAATAGAACGGATAGATTCTTGGAGAACGCAAAAAAGATAAAGTAGAATTCCTCGAATTTCTAAAAGCCTCAAAGAGATGGTTTCAGACTATAAGATTTTAATGGTAAGTGGGTCGTTTTGTTTTCGCTACGGTAGTTTTATGAAAACAAGACAATCGCAAGCCAGGCCGAACTCAAATAGTTGACATAAGTCGTTGCCTTATTTAATAATAACTATTAATTTTTGGCATCATCTTTATTACCTACTTTAATAATTTCCAATTTCTGCCCTACAAGTGCTTTTCTCAAGCATTTTTAGATCAAAAGAAATCTGAAAATTCGTGCCCACTGTGACACCACTGATTTCAGCGCTCCTTTATCAATGCGGTTAGTTAATCAGTGTATAGTAGTCGTAACTTCACAAAATAAGGTTTGTGAACACGAAGTTGTTGAATGGTCGAAAACTGCAGTAACAGGGGCAGAGAGAATGAGGAAGAGACAGAGGCGAATGAAAGGGGGAAGACGGAGAGAGAAAAGGAAGTATTAGAGGAATGTTGACAAGTTCTCTAGAGAAAACAAGAGCGCTTATTAAATCACAAGAGAGCAAACTGCTAGCGGCCAACAATATTTCACTATCGGATTCGTTCAGGGATATAAACACATAAAATGTATGAGCGACGTATATGGATGCACATCTGTAAATGTGTATGTAGATGTGTAAACACAACCTGACCATAAAGTTGAGAAAACCAGGAAACTGAAAGCAGAAAGAATTGCGGTACAGTCGAACCATCTGCGCTACTGGAGTGGAGCGTAAATTATTTAAAATATCTTTGTTAGTAACCTTGTTCTGAAAACCATTCAAAAAGAATCTGACGAAAAATAATGTTGATGTGTCAAGTGAACAATTCACTTATAATAAATGCTTTGTAAAAGCGAAGAAATACAAAATTAAGGAGGAGGAAAACAGTGTGAACCTGAAGAGAAATATAAAGTCTTCTTGTTGTTGATGGCCCCGCCAAGTGCCTGCTACTGGAGTAGGTGCAGCGACAGCTCCAATCGGGTTTGCCCGATAGGATTGCGAAGCTTTTCGACTATTCTGTGGTTGGAATAATCATAGAAAGCAAGTTTAAAACAAAACAAATGTCCGCATTTTTCTTCAAAATGTATGTGAAGTTGTGGTGGAAGGCGAGAAAACGAATGATTCACTGCAACAGTAGCGATAATCCCTTGGGGGATTCGCTGGTCACGGACTAAATGGTCGATGATCGTAGAAGGTTGGGTCGAAAACGACAACCAGCGGCGATTAACAAGTTCATGCTGTTGATGAAAGAAAACGAAGGTTTGCAACCACTTGAAAGGCTGGCGGTCTCTTCACCGTCGTCTGGTCGCCGAATCAAAATTAGTCCTCTAAGTGGTGACTGTGGGTCGGGAGACGCCAAATGCTCGAAAGCATCCGGGCTGGACGAAGATGAGCCAGAGAGTGAAATCCTTGCGCTTTGAACGAAAACTATCTCTTTTCATAATAGGAAAAATGAAATAATGGAAGGTTAACTTGGAAATATATTGAAAATAAAGAAAAGAGCAAAAAAGATGGAAAGGTGCTATAAAATGGGAGTTTTCATTTGTGGTGTGCACTATCAAATCTGCAACGAAACCCACTTGGACAACAGTTGCAATTTTTTCAGAGAGCAGTATCAGTTTTTGTAGTATTGATAATATCCCTCACGTTGAAGAACAAAAAAGGATAAAGCTTCCGGCTTTTGTCAATCCCTGAGGGACGCACCATGCATTCGACTTCATTAAGTATCGTTTGGAGGTGATCGCATGCATATTTGGCTTTTACAATGACTCGCGGTGGCCTACCGATTTATCGAGCCAGCGCTCTTATCCTCCTAAGCAAGTTTGGCACCAATTTGCCAACCCCGGATTGATGGAAAGCTTGGTGGGCCATGGGCGCGTGGATCGATTTCACATGTGTGTCGCAGTGGCGCCTCCAACCACTGCGCCACACGCGCCCTTTCCCTCGCATTAACCCTTACTTATATTCACATTTTTTTTAAAATTTGATCTACTTATTCACACGAACCCTCTTCTCTTCATCAAACTGGGCCATTTACAGCTTCCGTGTAGATATAATCTTACGTTGTTATTATTTGTGAAAAGTCCGATTTCGAGGAAAAGTTTTAGGACACTGTGAGATCTCTTTAAGCCTAAATTTCCCAATCATTACAAAAATAGGTATAACACATATAACTGGTTTGCTGTACTACATTTTCAATAATCTATTCCTAATTAAACATTGGATTTTTATTGCCATCAAGAGCGTCGACCTTTATCACTACCCAAAGAGCGAATAATTTTTCGCAAAAAGTTGTTTCCGTGATGTCTAACACATTCGCGGTACGATGCATTGACTTCAATTCATAGATGTAAAAAAATGGTCATGTGTTTCAAAGTTAATTAAGGATAAAATATAAATAGATATTAATGGGCGAATGCTGATGGCACTGGCAGATAGAAAACTAGCTAGGAGATGCGTGAAACCAATGACGCACATGGTGTGGTGTGGTTAACTCTCGGAAGGGGCAGTAGCGCGTTCGTTCCCTACCGTAGACACCTGCGGTCCGGAGTTTTGCAAATATCTCAGCATCATTACGGTTGTGTGTATTTTAAGTTAGAATAGACGTATCTCAGCTGAACGTGAGCTTAATTTATTCCAACAAAAATCATTAGAATTTAAAGAACTTTGTCAACAAGATCCATGGTGTCTTACCGCATAGATACAAAGAGTCCTGAGTTCTTGAAACCAGAAAGCTATGTTTTTCACTAAATGTAGATTTCAAACAGATTTAAGAGGTTATTTTGGAAAATTGTTTATACTCTAGGTGTCAAACACTAGAGCAACTTCTACCGCGCCATCATACTTGCAACTCCTAGGATAATCCGACTGTTGAGACATTATTGGCAGTTCTTTCAAAACATTTTTCTCTCGTGAAGGTGATAACAGAGTATTCCGAAATATGGCTTTTCGAGAACTGGTAACAATCTCTCGTTTGCTAAGATATTTGAGTCACATTTATAGAAAAGGTTTTGCCTCATCGGCTTAAAAGTACATTTTAAAGTACAAATACATAAAGTACTAAGTACAATTTTAAATTTCTTTAGAACGAAAATTCTTAACGAGCCGAGCTGAAAACGAAGTTTAGACCTCCAGAACTCTAACTCATGCATGGTAGCTTCAAAAATCAACGGGAAATTGGAGAAGACCGTCGTGTCCTGGTGGACTAAATCCTGCTTTGTTAATTGTTCACGTGTTCAAAACACGAGGAATGACGGAAAAGAGTGGAAAAACACCTTTTGTGAGCTCCGGAAAGCCAAACCCTAATCTTAAAAGGAAAGTAGAGCTTGAGCTTGCAAGTGAAAAAATTAGGGTAAATTACTAATAAAGGAAAATAGAACATTTTCAACTGTAACTCTTTCTACTTCTGTTCATCAAACACGAGGTGTGGTTTTATTTCTTTATTTACGTACAAGCTGACGTTTCGTCGGATTTGGCCTTCCTCAGAGCCTGGAAAGGTCAAATTGACAGCAATCTATCCAGCCAAACACGTTCATAACCAAACAGAGAAAACGCTAAACCAAGATTTCAATTACATTTAACATAGCCCTGCACACTCACCGCTTTCTATGAGTCTTCCACTGAGTATGTCGCGTGGAGACTAACCGCACAGAATTCACATGGAAGCGTAATATGCCTCTCCCATCAGAATAACAGGCTTATATACTGTCCAATACTACGCGTGATAATGAGGCATTCTTCTCTGCGGTTAATTTTCGGATTTCTGCAATTAATCCAGAACGCCTCGAGAGTTTTGCGCTCTTGTGTTCTCGATTCCTGTGCGAGGATCGTAACCCATACTTCAAAATCTTTTCCGTTATGTCTCTGCGTCCCATGCGTGCCTAGTGGAGTATTTGGCTTACGTTTGCCGACTAGGTGTTCTTTTACACGCATGAAGAGTGGTCTACCCGCTTCGCCAACGTGTTCGTCCCCGCACGCTTTACAAGAGATCAGATAGACTGTACCCGAACTCATGCAGTCACCGTCTCTGCCATTGGGGAAAATTATGCAATTTTGCGTTCCGCATAGACGGTCGCATAGGCGGTTACGAACTAGCTGGCGTCTTAGATTAATCGGTGGTATTTCGATTATCCTTACCGAATTCTCTAGGTTGGCCTTTTTTAAACAGCGTTTTATAGCTGCACTTACTTCATTTGAAATGAAGGGCAGTATAAACGGAACCTTGTTCTCGCTAGAGTTATCGTTGGGGTACCTGTGGTACCATTTTCAACTGTATTGCTCTGAAACTGAAACTGGCTACTGCCTTTGAAAGAAGTGCATTGTACTCAGTGCAGAATAGATGTCAAGTGTTAACACTTAGAAACCAGCCTGAGTTGATTTCCACTCGTACGGTTCGAAAATAATGACAGCTTCCAAATTTAGACCAACATAACCTATCTCAAAGCAAGCCGTGTTAGTTGCAGTAAGAAATATCTAGAATTATTCAGCTGCACTATAAGAGCTGTTTTGTTTTAGCAAGACGAAACTCCCGTCTCTCAGAGCCCATTGAATCTTCAATGTGCAAAGATTTTCGCCGACGATGATATTTAAAAGACGAAAACAATTCAAAAAGCGGTATTTCGCCAATTAGAACCTATCTCTAAATGGGTTGTTAATGTTTGCAGCCGCCGGGATTTTCTTTGGAATTTTTAAAAAATTTAAAATCTTTCCTATTTTATTCGAAAATTCTGGTTCCAAGCAAGGTTAAAAATAGGACAGCTTCTAATACTGTTTTAAGCAACCGTACTAACCGTTAATTCACCTGTATCACCTGTAGTCTCATTCGTAGTCGAGCGACTCGAGTAAATCTTCCATTCTTACCTGTCGCGTGCAAGAGTGGCTCCGCGGGCTCTGCTCGCTCTAGGAACCCGGTGAGCATCATACCTTTCTCCTAAGTTTTTCGTGAAAAACTAAAGCCGTCGGGTCGGTGTAGTGCGTTTAACATCCCGAGGAATCCAGTCATTAACGCTCTTGCCCATCGATTGTCGTCCATACGTATTATGTGTCCGGCCTACCTTATCTTCGAATATTTGGCGTACAGAACGGCATATTTGATTTTTGATCGTTGGCGCAGATCGAAGCTTCGAATCCCATCCCTTACTTGTGTGAAACGGGATACTCCTAGCATCGCCCTTTCGACTGCGCGTTCGGTAACGCTGAGTGATCTTTCATTCTACCAACGCAGCGACCAGATAAAGGATAAACTTCTCGGCGTTGATCAATCCCTTGAAGATGCACCATGCATTCGACTTCATTAGGCACCGTTGGAGGTGACTGAATGCATACCTGGCTTCTATAATGACACGCGGTGGCCTACCGATGTATCGAGCCTGTGCTGCTGTTCTCCCAGACTAGTCTGCTACCAATTTGCCGACCGAAGAGGAACGGAACGATTGTTGAGCCATGAGCGCAGAGATCGATCCCACGTGTGTGGTGCAGGACGCCTCCGACCACTGCGCCAGACGCGCCCTATCGGTGTGGATATCCATTTAAATAGAAGTTTTTGTACGCTAAGTAATTCATTAGGGTTTATTCTAAAATGACCAATCTGCTACTACAAGTTATATGCTTACCGTGCATAACAAAGAAAATTTTTTTTTTGAAGAAGGAAGACGAAGACGTCGAAACGTTAGCCGAAAATAAATATATTTATCAACCTCGTGTAAGCTTATCAAGAAAGAATACAAAGAAAATTTTGTTACAGTCTTATGTTGGATATGGGATATCCGACACGTCTTACCCTTAATCAGAAATTTTTCACATAGTTTGTTCGATTGGATCGACTAATCGCTGAAACCTCTGCCTTGATGAGGATCACCACCTTCCTACGAGAATGTCAATTGTATGGCTGTAAATATTCATCCGATTCGAAAAATCCGACAATTATGGCGAGAACATGGGAACGCGCTAGCACGTCCATGTCCAGATTCTAGGAAACACAATGAAAAACTTTTGTTCAGCTATCAGTGAACATCGTTAATGATGAGAAGAACAACCTACGAATCATTAAAATGCAGTCTAATCCACAAACGAATCTTAAAACTTTTATGAATGACGGTTGTAAGACAGCTGTTTAAAATGAAGAACTGCTTCAGGCTCATACGTCGTGTGAGGACGTCGAGTCATCTAAACATCCAAGCAGTCAATCGCAAGACAGTGAAAAACCAGTTAATGATGATACTCTGACAACTGGGTGATATAGAAAGAAGAACTGTTCAAGTATCAAAAAAACGCGAAGAACAAACCTAGCCTCTTATACCTCAGAGGCCTGCTAATTTAGGAATTGTGTTATTGTTTGCTCTAAAATTATGACCAACTTCTCGTTTCAATATTTAGTCGTTTTTTACCTCTTTGTGTTAAATATCATATGGTACGTGTACGT